TAAGGTAAACGATTCTAATGTATGTGTTTATTCAAAATCTAATGAGTATGGTTGTGTTATATTATGTCTATATGTGGATGATATGCTTATTTTTGGTTTTAATGACATAGTCAATGCAACAAAAACTTTCTAAGCTCCTGTTTTGACATGAAAGACTTAGGAGAATCTGATGTAATACTTGGCATAAAAATTACTAGGAATCTAATGGGTTATGTCTAAATCAATCACACTACATTTGAAAAACCCTATATGATCCTAGTATACATTTGAAAAAGAACAATGGTAATAGTGTTTCACAAGAGGAATATGCTAAGATTATCGGAAGTGTCATGTTTTAAGTGAACTATACAAGGCCTGATATAGCATATGTTGTTAGTTGATTGAGTAGATACACCCATAATCCTAATCGTGAACATTATGATGCTTTGATTAGATTATTGAAATATTTGAAAGGGGCAATCAATTGGGTTCTACATTACCAAAGGACACCTCGTGTCTTAGAAGGGTACTGTGACGCCAATTGGGTGTCTGATAATGATGAAATTCAATCTACTAGTGGATATGTCTTTACTCTTGCAAGTGGTGCTATATCATGGAAATCTTCTAAGCAAACTTGTACTGCTAAATCTACAATGGAATATGAATTTATTGCTTTAGAACTTGCAGGACAGGAAGCTGAGTGGCTAAGAGGGCCTACTTGTAGACATTCCATTGTGGGGGAAACCTACTCCATCAGTCTCCATGCACTGTGACTCACAAGCTGCCATAGGTGCTGCAAAGAACCAATCCTATAATGGGAAGAGAAGACACATTCGCATGAGACATAGAATAGTTAGAGATCTGATCAGAAATAATGTGATATCACTTGAGTTTGTAAGATCTGAGAGGAATAATAACAATTCCTCTCACCAAAGGCCTTTGTAGAAAAATGGTGCTGGAAACAGCACTAGGAATGGGTTTAAAGCCTATTAAGGAGTGATTTGTGATGGATACCCAACTTAGTTATTTCTGAGTTCAAAAAGGTTAAACGAAGTCACAAATAACTCGAGTTACATACTACTACCATTCCTAATTAAAAAGTGTTGTTGTTTAGGGTAAAAATTACCCTAGACACGTGGCCCAATGGCCTTATGACACGTGGCAACTAGCCATAGGTCAACAGGGCGCCAATCCCCTGTTGACACGTGTCCTTTGAACCCTAGATGGGGTACTGGTCTCCCCACTATAAATAGTGGGTCATACCTCATTTATTGGGCATCCACAAATACAAACACAAATCCCGAGCAATATTAATTGCAGAATCCTCCTGTATTAGCGAGGAGTATTTACTATTTCCGCACTTATTACCTCTTGTACGTTACTGACTTGATCGTCGGAGGCGGAGCTCCCACCAACCGGAGTCTTCGTGGTTTTGCAGGTACAGGCGTCGGTTGCACATACTAGGAATTGTAACTCTCCCGCAGGACACATCAACAACCCCCGAAACAGTTGTAGTATTCTATCATTTTTGTTTTAAGGATGAGCTTTAGCTCTTAATAAGTTCATAGCCTTTAAGGTGGTTTGTGATGAGACAAACTTGATGAACTTACCTATGTGAATGTGCGGAATTTGTCCTACCCCAATGAGGTTATTTAGGCTTGTCATCTCTAGAGCATCCATGAAAACCCAGGAAATTGTGATGGACAAATAATTTGTTATTTACGAGAACTAAATTAATTTTTGAGATAAATTCAAGTGTGCAAGTGTATTCATACAAACCCCATTGAAGGTTCAAGGTTTTTCCACCTTAAATGGATGTAGGATATACTTGTAAACACTGATTGTCAATTCAAGTCCACAAGAAATTAATACTTGAGAGACTTACATCTCCAATTCCCAATTTTCATCCTGCACTCATTTCATTTCATTTCATTTTATCTTCTTTTCTTTTGAATCATGTGGGGGATTGTTGGAGATATTGTTGAGAATAGTCTCCTTGGTTGCTTCAAAATAAAAGAGTAAAAGTCCCACATTAGTGAGGTAAAGGGGTTTTACCCTCTTTATATATTTCAACACTCATATCTATTCTTGAGTAAGTTGTATGGGCTAGATATGGATATCCCCTCGCGCCGCCGCTGCCGCCGCTTGGCCTGGTTCGGGTTCAGGTAACGTGCGTGGGTGTGGGTGTTGCCCGGATTTTACACATGATTCTATCTTTTTATGTAAACTTTCGGATAACGGTCACAATATTTTCGTCCATATTATAACCGTTATTAAGTGGATTTAGTCAAAGATTATCTCCTTGATTTACTCCGTAATTATGCCAATCAATTATTTGGCTGATTATCTTCCCCAAATTTATCTCTTAGTTTTATGGTAATTATTGTTTAAATTACCGTTTTTTCTTTCATTGATTGATTGTCGAGATATTCTCATTGATTATCCTCCTCGGAATTCGCTCTTCTTGGTTAATATATTTTGCTCCTTCGGTTTTCATGGGTACACAGAAAAATCATAAAAATAAAATACTTCTTCACTGTTTTTCCATTTCTCTCAGAAAATATTCAAAAACACCACTCGAGCATTGTATTCTTGAGTTCTCAATTCATCCTTACGAAGTACACAATTCGGGTGGAGTCGTGTAACCCTAGGGGTCAATTGTCGTGAGTCCGTGTGTACGAGTGCGTGGCAAATTCGACTTTAGGGCAGTGATTTTTGTCACGCCACGACATTATTCTTAAATTTTCAGATAAGTTTTACTTCGTTATTAGCCTTATTTCTAACAGTAACAGGCTCCTGTATACCCGATAACGCATGCTCAAACTCAGTGGGCGAACATGTGATGAATAAGGAGTCAAAGTAGCTTGCTACATTCTCCTGCATCTCAGTTTTTTTCACCCTCCAAACCTCAATAACGTCATACAGTCCCATAATGCTAATGACCCATCGTCGCTTACTAGCCTTTTGATGAAAGAACGAAGTATTCTTGTCACCATCTTTAAGCACATTCGACCTTGCACGGGCATGCCAATAAGTTTCTTCCAGCCTATGATACTCATCAAATTGCTTAGCCAACACACGACATTGTGCAAGCATGTTAGCATCTGGGAAATTCCCCTACTCATCCTGGAGCTTTGATTCTTTTTTTTTTTTTTTTTTTTTTTTTTTTTTTATCACCGAAGCACTTGCCAGCCCATGAAGAAAGATACTCAGTACACATTGAAATTGAGCAGCCCTTAACCCCAATACTGCTAATCCACGCTTCCTCTACTATTTTACTCCTCGCTTGACATCCACCATGCTTCTAATTTGAAAGCTTTCTTGTCCCTTCCTTGCTTGTAGTAATTTATAGTGTTTAATAAAATAGGGGCATGATCACTACGGTAAATTGGGAAGTTACGCTCCTCAAAAAACGGAAATAAGTTACACCAACCCCCATCTTCCAAGAATCTGTCAAGACGTTCCCCTTTGAAAGTTGTCGGTGAATTACCTTTCTTCCAAGTGAAGATGCTGCCTTTGTAGCCAGTCACGCAAACAACAATCATCAATTGCACTATGAAAAGCATCCATACAGCTCTCACTCCTCGGTACCCCCCATCCTTTTCATCTAAGCTCACAATTTCATTAAAATCACCAAAGAACACACATGGCAGGTCACACCCCGACTTGATTCTTCTAAGCTTCTCCCACGTGAGGTGTTTATTTTCTTGTTCCAGCCACCCATACACCCCTATAGCTCTCCATTTAGGTGTATTGTTATGGTCACAAACATGAGCAATAAAATGGTGGATGGAGTAAGTTCTTACAGTCACATTAGTATCTTTTCCCCAAAAACTCATTCAACCCGAATTCCCTCTACTACTACCACAAATGCCCTTTACAAAACCACACATGTTACGAACTCTAATTAAACTAGCTTCATCAATCATAGTCTCCATCAAGAAAACTATATTCGGCCTCTCCCTCCAGCACTAGTCCCGAAGGGCCTTAACTGCCCAAGGGTTGTCAAGCCCTTGGTAGTTCCAACTTAGTATCTTCATGGCTCTTCGAGGGGTTGGTTTATACCACACCCTTCTTGTTATCTTCATGGCTCTTAGAATACTCAACCACCTTCGCTTATTTTGCCACATTCACATTCAATCCCCTTAAAGAGATGTCATCAACATCCACCATACACCTCTTAGTCGAACCACCCTCCCCCATTTTCACACCCTCACAATCTGTTAACATCTGATCCTCCCACCAACCCTCTCTTTTCTCTTCCAAGTTTTGCGGCCCACCCCACCACTCATTCCACTACCTACCTACCTATCTACAAACTTATTTATTTTGTTTGCATTGCTATTCGTAGCCCCATCCATATCAGCATTTCCAACATCACTCAAGGTATTTTCTGTCTGTACTCTAAAACCTACTCCCTCAGGCTTATTAATCACTTCACCACCCATAGATGGCCCTTCATTCACCCTAACATTCTGAGCATCTACCTTCTCCACTGCACTCTCCTTACCCAACTTGCCATTCATTCCTTCAACAAGGCTTGTCGGTCTGAGAACAATTTTGTTAGTCCTTTCATCTTGGACTAACATTAGTTTAGCTTCTCTGGCACGAGGAGTCCCCTCATTCATAGGGGAGTTTGGAGACGCAAACAGGAGTTTTCTTGCTGCACCAACAGGACCGATTTTTATTGTATTCGGGTCATTGTAGGATCGGTTTGTGCTACATCTACTCGACTTCAGTTTTTCGCGTAGCTTTCTTTCCCTCTCCATGGCAGAAAGTGAAGACTGAGATAGTTTCAGAGGGGAAGCTCTCATCCAAGGCCCATACTGGTAAACTATTTCATGCTGATTTTCCCCATCCTCTTCTTTTTTCACACTCTTTATCAGTGTGATCAAGGAGACCATAATAGAAACAAAAGTCAACCAACCTCTCGTACCTAATGTCAATCCATTTTGATCTCTGAGAATCTACGGCAAGAAACATACCCTTTCTCAATGGCTTAGTAACGTCCACCATTACCTTCAGTCTTGTGAACACTCCCACCCCAGCGGATCCGAGTCATCAATTTCCACAAAGCCTCCTAGAGACTCCCCAATCTCCCTAATGGTTGAAGGGTTCCTCTTATTGAAAGGAACATCCAGAAGCCTCACCCATATAGGAATTTTCTTGAATTCGATCTTCGAGGGTTGTTCTCCACCTTGTATCTCCTTAAACAATAAGAGTTTTCCGTCGAAAAACCACGGCATGCCCTCCAGAATTCTTGATTTATCAGCCTCATTGAAAAATTGGAACACAAAAAGGTTCGTATCCATCGTTCTAATTGCAATGTTGCATTTCAATCGCCAAACGTTCGTCAGGGTTTTCTTCATAGCATCAACATTGAATGGTTTCACTGTACATAATCTACCAACCAGAGCCAATCGCAATTGATTGTTAGAATTATCCTCCGTTTCTGCATTCGAATTTCCCATAACAACAAGGTTTTCATCATCAGTTAACTTCAATTTCTCCCACTCCTTGATCATATCCTGCATTAGGAACCGGGCAAGATCACAATTTGATGCAATTGGTAAGATTAAATTGAATGAAGAAAGAGAATCGCACGAACCATAGACACAGGACCACGAATCCTAGACTAAGGAGCACAAACCCCACTAAAAACAAACCTTAATGAACCAAAACCTCTCACAAGTTCAATCAAACCCAACAGTTAAACGCTTGACAAGAATAAACACTATTGCGACTTACTTTCTTGCATGTATCACAAAATTTTTAGAGCTAGAGTTTACTCACTACATATTAGAATTATGACAAAATTGGGTCACGGAGGTTGGGCCCCTGCCAGCCACTGTCGGCCTGATTGACCCTAATCCCAATTATTGATGGTATAGGGTGGAGGTAATTAAAAGTCGTAAGGGAAAACCCCCCCCCCCCCTATCCCAATTATTGTGGTTGATGAGTCGGGGTTTGAACTTGTGATCTCAAAGTCACAATGTGTAATTCTCATTAAATACACTAAATTTGTTTAATTTAATCCTTTTATTAGTATTTAGTATAGTGTAGAGGGAAAAAAAATTACGGATTTTAAAGCATCACTGAAGCAGATGGAGTTGGATTGAAATATTGGGTAACTAACTACTATTACCTTATTCAATGGTACATGTCTAGTACTAAGATTAAAAAGCAATATGTAAAAATATTTATTAAAAAGCAAAGACAAGATATAATTTAAAAAGGGCAATTGCATAATACTATATTGAAAGTGAACTGAAAAAAGAGTAGGGCATTTATATGTTGAAAATGTATAGAATAATGTCCAATCGATAGAAAGCATCAATAGTGGGTCTTAATAAGGTCAAATTAAAGCATAATGTATGTAAGTTGCATAATACAATTACATTTGAATGAATGGTGTCCAATAGATAAAGCAGTCTTCACAAAAGCAAAGCTTGAAGCATACATGGCATGCACAATTCCACGTAAGGACATATCGTAGTTGGAATTTTGGGATTGACCCTCCTACTTTAACAATTCGATCGTTTGGTATACCTATACATTAAAAAAGATGATTATAGTTGATTTAAAGTGTGATTTAATTACTTAGTAGTGCATCACCTTTTGATCAAAATTCGTTCTCCTTTTGAAGCTCCAATAAATTTGCTTTATGTTTATTGCTGAATCAATTGCATTTTTTTAATACTCAATTTATTAATAAAAGGCATATGATATTTTTACAAATGAAATCTAAATAAGACAAATATATAAGAGTTTTCGGGAAATTCTTTTTTGTAACACTCAATTTTTAATTTTTCTTTTGGTAAATTGCAATAAAACTTATTATTAATGGTAATCATGAATTTTATTACCATATATGATAACTATTTTAATTAGAATATTTAACTATGGTTAGATTATTTATTTTGTAATTATTATAAAAATAAAAATAAAAATAAAAAACCAACCCAACACCCTTCCCCCATCGGCCCACCAATAACCCCAGCCCCCACCCCCCACCCCCACCAGCACCACCCCCTCCCTACCCAACGGCGACCCAGCTATCCCCTCTTCTAACACTCCAACTCCCACCTCCCTTCTTCACGCTAGGCTTCTTCACCCTACTACAACCGCTGCCGCAGCAAGCATCCATACCCTTCCTTCTTTGAAAAAATCCATTACTCTAATATTGTGAAACCCAAAAAGAAGATGACACTTTCTAAGTTCCCTTCTTACGGGTCAAAATCCGGACCCTTTTCAATCTAGGCGTTTAACCCCTGACGAAATGCTTCAATTATGGAGCTTTAGGGGGTTTTGAGGGTGGGGGGGAACAAACCTTGACAGATTTTCCCAAGAACTTCGAGTTGAGAAGTCGTCTTCATCTTCTTCTTAGTTTTAGGCTCACCTCCACCAATTGTTGAGTTATTTAGAGTGTTGAAGTGGAGAGCTCGCTCCACTTGTTAGCGCGCTCGTGAAAGGCAGGCGCGACCCGCTCCGAAAGTGCGACAAAATCGCGCTGAGTTTCTAGAAAATCTGGCAGATTTTGGAGGCGCACCCGCGCCAAAGATTGGTGTGACCCGTGCCTAGGGCGCGACAAAATCGCGCCAGGTTTCTGGAAAAATTGGAAATTTGGCAAAACCGGGAGGAGCGCCCACGCACGAAGGTGGCGCGCCCGCTCCTCACGGTGGCGCGCCCGCGCTTCTGTGGTGGAGCGCCCGTGCCTCTTTATGCGCGCTCGTGCCTCCTCCCTCTTCTATGGTTTTGTGGTTATTTCCTTTATATTGTATCAAGGCTTTTGTTTTGAAGGGGACAGAAAAATTCTCTTAATCTCTCAAAAAAATTCTCCACCCTTATTCTCTCAAATTTCTTGCAAACTTTTGTGAGAATTCTCTTGCAATTAATTCAATATTGTGAATTATTCATCTTCAATTCGATTCTTAGTGCAAAGAACAGTTGGCTGTCTTTTGTATCTTAAAGAGTATTTCCGGATCAAACCCAAGCACCGTTGTGGGGGAAATTAAACTCTTTAGGAAAGTGTTCACACGCCTAAGACAGTGTATCAAGGATTGAGACTCAAGCGGTCACCGGTTTTCTCATGTTCATGTTCGTTTTCTAAGGCTTGGAGTAGAGGCAAGTTTATTATATTTCACACTAGTGTTTTCCGTTGTAATTTCTAGAATATTGTGATTTTTTGGTGTTTGGTTGTAATACATTGAATTGTATTAGGATTGTTGTATAATTTGATATTGATTATACACTTTTAGGTTTTGTTCCCACAATTATTAAAGTAGTTCTTGCTCTAGAAATACTTGAAAACCTAACAATCTAAAGAGTTTAAGTAGAGCAAGCATGTCTAGTGTGAAAGAATTGACCACAAATTTTGTCAAACTCAAGAAGTTTGACGGTGTGGAATTTCGAAGATGGAAGAAGAAGATGTACTTTCTTCTTACATCTTTGAATGTAGCCTATGTCATTAGTACTCCAAGGCCTAGTAAACATGAGAATGAATCCTTGAAAAATGTTCGGGAAAGATCGAAATGGGACAACAATGACTTTATTTGTCGTGGTCATATATTGAATTGTATGGAGGATGATTTTTTTGATGTTATCAAAATGTTGAGTCGGCGAAGGAGCTTTGGGAGTCCTTAGAAGGCAAATATATGGCTGAAGATGCTTCAAGTAAGAAGTTTTTAGTAAGTAATTCTAATAATTTTAAGTTTGTTGATGGTCGGTCCATAATGGACCAATTTCATGAATTACAACGAATCTATGGGAACTTGAAACAACATGGTATATCTATGGATGAATTATTTGTTGTTTCAAGCATAACTGAAAAGTTACCTTCTAGTTGGAAAAGTGTTAAGCATGAGCTTAAACACAAGAAAGAGGACATGTCTTTGTCCGAGTTGGCCACCCATCTTCAAGTTGAAGAAGGGATAAGAGCCATGGAAAATGCTAAGGATGGGAATCCTAGATCATCAACCATTAATTTGGTGGAGGAAGGGAAAACTGGTGCTTCCACTGGTGGAAAGAGGAAGAATAATAACTCTTTTAAGGGAAAGTCCAAGAAGTATGCAAGCAAACAACAACAAGTTTGCTTGTTGGGAATGCGGTAAAGTTGGTCACCGCAAGAAGGACTGCTTTTCTTACAAGAAAAGGATGGAGAAAGCCAAGGAGGGCCGTGCTAGCACTAGCAAGGACCCACCCACCAAAGGTAATCCAATTCATGAGGTTGAATTTGATTTCGGTTTGGATTTAAATGCAACGGATCCTAAAATTTTTATGGTGCAGGATGATGACTCATGGTGGATTGATTCGAGGGCTTCTAGGCATGTATGCAAGATGAGGCATTGGTTCAAAACCTTTCACAAGGTAGGTGATGGAGAAGATCTCTTCATGGGGAACAATTCAACCATCAAGGTCCTTGGTAGAGGACAAGTAGAACTAATGATTAGTTCGGGGAATGCATTCATTCTTAGGGATGTTTTGTATGCTCCGGATATTAGTAGGAATCTTGTATCGGGGCCTTCCCTAAATAGTCTTGGCTAAAATTAGTATTTGAAGCTAATAGGTGTATTATTATAGAGGAACAAATTTCATAGGTCGTTGTTATTTATGTAATGAATTATTTAAGCTTTCTTTGAAAGACAAGTATGGATTTGATGATGTTTGTTTGAATGTTGATGCAAGTGATTATCATATTGATTTAAATTTGTTTGACTTGCGGCATTCTAGATTAGGACATGTTAATTATAATAAAATGCTTTTTATGTCCAAACAAGAATTAATTCCTTCTTGTGATATTTCTCATAATAAGTGTTCTACTTGCATGTTAAATAAGATCACTAGAACTCCATTTAAGAGAGTTGAGAGAAGTTCTAATATTTTAGAACTAATCCATAGTGACTTGTGTGATTTTCATAGTAATCCTTCTTTGGGGAACAAAAGATACATGGTTACTTTTATAGATGATTATTCTAGGTTTTGTTACGTGTATCTTTTGCATTCCAAAGATGAAGCTTTAACAAAGTTTGATGTTTATAAAAGAGAAGTAGAATTGCAAGTAGATTCATTTATTAAGAGAATAAGAACTGATAAAAGGGGGGAATACTATGATCCAACATATTTCCAATCTTTGGGTATAATTCATGAGACTACAGCTGGTTATGCACCACACTCAAATGGTGTATCTGAAAGGAAAAACAAAACCCTTGAAGAAATGGTTAATTCCATGTTATCTTACTCAGGTTTGAGTGAAGGGTTTTGGGGTGAAGCAATGTTGACAACATGTCACATTCTTAACCGGGTTCCCACAAGGGAAAAAGAATCTACTCCTTATGAACTTTGGTACAAAAGAAAACCAAACTTGAAATATCTCAAGGTTTGGGGTTGCAGGGCAGTCGTAAGAGCGCCCGACAACAAGAAGAGAAAGCTCGGTGAAAGGGGCTTGGAATGCATTTTTATAGGTTATGCTGAGCGTAGAAAAACCTATAGGTTCTACGTAATAGAACAAAATGACTATATTTCCGTTCATTCGATT